GCCGCGGGGCTCAGAGGTTTGTGTTTAAATTCCATGTACGACAGATCTAGGCCAAGTGCTATCTGAATGCAAAAGGAAAAAATAACTTATCCTGAGCTAGAGAGCCAACTCTAGTCAGGGATTTTCCTTGTCCCTACATACCAAAAGAAGTGAAGGATGAGAGGGTGGAAGTGAGAGTTTTACATGCAGAGTATGGAGGTATGTCAGAGAAGAAAAAAAAAAAAATCTGGTGTCCTACTGCTAGTGCTGTCACACACACTTCATAGCCAGGGGCATGTAATTCAGTCTCACTCGTGCCTTCTTTTTAAGCAAGAGATCATGCATTTCTTCCCTCACAGGGGGGAAGATAGTTTGCCAGCTGAAGTTCCTTGCCCAGCAACATTTACACGTCATGGTGTGGAGAACAAACTTCATTTTTTTCTGAATGGGGGAAGGGGTTTTTTCAGACTGATATTCACGGCAGTGTCTTCCCTGTTGTCTTCTATTAGGAAAGGATTTGAAACATAATGCTATGGTATTGTTTTGACCGTTTCTGAGATAGATGAAAACTGGGGAACTGCAAGTGGAATAAGAAACAGCTTAATAAAGCATTTGAACTGTATAAAAAACATAAGTTCTACCGTGCTACACTGTGTAGTTTCCATTTCATCAACAGGTATTCTAACTACCTATTAAATGCAGGTTATGGAAAATGGCCAGACCAGCCTTCTGAGTTTGTCCTTTTTTGGGTGGAATTTATCTTAATATTTTAAACTCTCCTCCTTTGCCCCTTCAGTGCGCTTTGTAGAAATCAGTGTTTCTTAAAATGCTAGCGTTTCTTAATGCAACTTAGTAGTGAAAAAAACCCCAAACTTCTGGGTTTGCACACAGCTAAATGTCGGTTTCTGTCCAAATCCAGAGGGTGGTTGTGTCACGCGGTTTTATGCTGACCGAAGTCTATCTTAAAGTCCTCTGATTTAAGGGAGGAGAACAGGGGATTCTTCTGTTGTGAGTCATCTTATATCAGAGCTTGGTCATGCTTCTACTGATGTCGACAGGAGTTTTTCCATGGAGTTTATTGATGGAATGTTTTTTCGGTGTTATAGAGAGCTACTGGTTTAAGTTTGAAGTCGTCCTAACAGCTGTGAATGGCACCTCAAGTGCCCCGTACCTGTTAAGGAAGAAGGTCACCCGTGTGCCTTGTGCCTACGGATTCAAAACCATCGCTAAAATATCCTGTAAGTTCATTGAGTAATTGCTCTTCTACATGATATTTGTTAGCCATACCCTTAAAACACTGTCCATTGCTAATCACCAGTGGAAGGCAACCCTTTAACATGCAGTCTTTAAAAAAACCACAAAAATCTGTGGAGATGAGAATGGAAGAACCCTCCCTAGGTACTGTTTGCCTCTGTGTGCCTGAAATTCTTTATTTTGTGTGTTATAAACAGAGAAGAAAATTATGAGATTCTCAGAAGCCAAACTGTGCATGGAAATGGACATTGCCAGGGTAAAATCTGTTTTGTACCATGTTAGAATACGTACCTTCTCCCTAGTTACGTTTCAGTTGGTTGAAGAAAAACTTAAAAATCAGATGTGTTTAAGGGACTCGGGTCACACTCTCACAATGGAGATCTGTTTCTTGTACTTTGCTGCAAATCTTCTGGTGTTTGAAGGTTTGTAATGGTTCTAAAAACACAGCTGTTTTCACTGGAATTTTAAAAATTGAGTCAGTTGTGTTACTCCGACAGATCAGTGCTGTGTCATCTGTCTGCTCGGACAGCCTCCAGCCTCTCTTGGCATATCCAGGACTCAGGTGAAAGCTGCAGCACATGGCAGTGGCAGCCTTGATTTTCTGCAGCTTGTCTTCTGAAAACACTGCAACTCCTCCAAAGCACGTCGGGGCCGCAGTGTCCAAGAGGAATTCCAGCTCTGGCTGCTCAGCGGAAGCGTTTGTTGTTGGTTTGCTGTGAGCAAATCACTTGAGGACACTTGGTCTTAGGAGGTGGAGATTTCTACATGGGAGACTGAACTGAGCTGCAGGAATGTGTTGCAGGTTATCTACCAGGTGATTTTCAGGCACTTCGGTTTGAGCTGTGTTTGATAGTGAGGAAGGTACGAAAGTCACATATTTCTCCAGCATTGCTTACCTGGGCTGGCACATCCTGGGTAGCACAGGCTGCGCTTCTGGCAGCAACAACCCCTGCAGAATGCAGCTGAGAGCCTTGTTTGCTCTCCGCTCCTCTCCTTGGGCACTGTCTGCGCAGCACCAACATCGAATCATCAAATGGTTTGGGTTGGAAGGGACCTTATAGATCACCTCGTTCCAGCCCCCTGCCACAGGCAGGGTACCCTTCTTGAGCGCTGCCAGGGGGGGTCAGCCATGGCTTCTCTGGGCAACCTGGGCCAGGGCCTCACCGCCCTCAGAGTAAAGAATTTCTTCCTTATATCAGATGTAAATCTCCCCTTGTTCAGATAGAAGCTATTACACCTTCTTCTGTCCCTACAGACCCTTGTCCAAGCCCCTCTCCAGCTCTCTCGAAGGCCCCTCCCGGCACTGGCAGGTCATCTCAGCT